TTTTAACGAAATAGGATGAATAGATCTCATATATAACATCTACTAGTAATCTAGAAAACCTACTTATAAACAAAAAATACAATGTGATTTAAGAGGTCCGGCCTTTCTTATAATTTGTCGCTACCGTGGACCACCCACACTGGTGGCTGTGCAATGGAGTGCTATTTTGTATCGCCCGTACGCGCATAAATTGGTTTCAAGTTCCTCTAGGTGTCGTTTAGACTTAAGTGAGATCAAAATTGCATTCATCATGGATGAGAAGGCCATCTTGGAGGCAGGAATAGGTGAAATTCAATGACATCGCAAAGCCTACTCATATTATTGTGGCATAAGCTCCATTGCAGGTCTTTAAATAAACCTAAACAACCTAGGTTAACTAAGTTCTTGTTAATTCCATTTTCATTTCGAGTGAAAATATGTGATGAAATGATTTAAGGGGTGCTATAATGCCCTTCTGCTTGATATCGTTTTGCCTAATCAACAGACAGACAGGCAGATTTGTGTTAGCAAGACCGGTACTGCACCAATGAATATAACAACTTATTGGATAATAGGGCGACTATGTCAGAATGCATTCAAACGAACAAGCTCTATGGTTCTTTTTTGGGTGGCGACCATGATTAAATGGTTGATGATACATGAAAGTCAAATAATGAGGAAACAAATATTATGGTATGAGTTTGCAGAGGTATTTTGGAACAGCTAGTGCGGAATTAGCTAAAGAAAAGTTGATGCAAGGAATGAGTAGGATGCAAAAATGATAAATAGAAAATGAGAAAAAAATAAGTCAGGCCGTGATCATAAAATTGCCTTTAATAATATAAAGTTAGCAAGCAAAAATTCTCTAAAAATTTTTCAAATGCAAAACGATGAGAAACATGCCTACTTTCGAATTTAAATAGAAATGGGCAAAATCGGTTGATTTCATTAAATCATTCTAAAAATGTTGAAAACTATTAAGAAGCAAACTACGGATATAGCCGTGAAAGACAATTTGATTGTATATGCTCTAAATAGGCAGAAAAGGCACATGTAAGAATAAGGCAATTAATAAATAGTTATCGAGATACGTGAAACTCCATGATACACAACTCCTTGCCCTTGTATAACAGAGAAGCCTCCAGCTTATCTCCTGGTAATACTGGCCCAACACCGGCTGGGGTTCCTGTGAGAATAATGTCGCCAGGATAGAGAGTAATTCGTTTTGAAATAAAAGAAATCAATTCAGCAGGCCTGTGAATCATTTGGGAAGAGTTTCCTTCCTGGCGTCGAACGTCGTTGACATTCAGATGAAAAGCGAGCTCGTCGGCAACATAGTTAGGTTCTTTGTCTCTGGGGCGAAATAAGGAACGAGGTAGTAATTTCAGTTCGACGAGGTCGCTCACTGGGCATGATGTGTCAAACGACTTAGCCAGAGTCCACGGGAGGCGTTCTTCTATGAGCCTATTTTGTAATTGACGATCAGTCATGTCCAAAGCAAGGACGCAGCCTGAGATTCCTAACTCCACCTATATTAAATTGTACATAAAATTAAATCAGACGAATAACAGGAAGATAGCCGTTCTATTAGCAATTGAACGAAATACCTGTGATGGTGGGACATTATTAAGTTCAGAACTAATAACAAATCCAAGTTCAATCTCGTGGTGAAGTTCTGTTGATCCACTTGGTATCTAACACTAATAGAGTAACCACCAAATACCTTGATCAATTCTCCACGAGCAATAAGTGAATTTGATGCCTTCATGAAGATTGCTGGCTTCTTTGTTGGCATTAACCCTAACTCTGATGCATGAGCACTGTAAAATATGCGAACATTGTATTTTGTTTACACATAATTTCGACAGACAGCCAAAATTTTACCGCACGAGTTCCTCATGGCGCCAGCCGTAACAGGCAAGCGGAGAAATATGAGTCGTAAAAACTAGCTCAATTCATGTTGCAAATAACCCTATTTTACACATAAATTTGTTCTTAGCATTCGTAACAACTTACCAATTAGACGATTTGAAACCAAGACGTGTAGAATTTTCCCGGCCTTTTTAAACCCTGTAGATGGATATCAAGCCCCTGTTCAACTTTATCTTAATCTTGCCTTGCGCCGCTCTTTTATGCGCTGTT